TGGGGACTGACTCATGCTGGAGCACTGTTTCTTGTGACTGACAGGTTCAGAGTGATAACTGTCCTGCTCAGCCTTTGGTTCATTCCAGCGGTCGTCAGGAGCTTCTTCCGCTACTTCTTCAGCTGCTTGGCAGGGATTAAAATCCCACGATTGCTAGTCTCAGGGAAATCCTCAAATTATGTGTTAGAAATGTTAAAGACAGCATTGCCCCCGTAAGTGGATTATTTCTTGGAAACAGGTCAGACCATGCGTAAGAAGACAAGAAACAGCAGTTTCTGAAGACAAACAATAATGAGGTTCATCCCTGTTTTCTGTAATATTACAGAGCCATATTAAGTTATGTCAAATGGTACTAGTATGTCTCAGCTATGCTGGAGAAATGATGTGTTACTAAAACTTTCTCCATCCATCCCCAGAATTACCTCTGTGTTCATCCTGTGGCTTTAGGAGTGTATAAACTGGCTGTGTAAAAGGCTTCCTGCATTGTCCAGTGTTCTCTCTCTGCCAACTGAAAGATCATTCCCTAAAGCTCATGTTCTGTTATCTAGTGCTTTCTAATTTTAAATTGTGGAATAGCAGTTAAATCACAAAATGGAGCTTTCATTGCTTCTTTCTGAAAAGTTTCTGCCTTCATTTTTACACAGTTGATCTCTGCAGCCAAGCCTGTGGTGTGATTTGCCTTGCTGTCCCCACTGGAAATATATCAAGCAGGACTTATCTTCAAGCTGATTCTTTACACCTTTCAGGTGTTGTGTATGCTGTTAGCTACAAAGTACCCAATATTCTAAATTCTCCATTTTTAGACCAACACTTCTATGGACAGGTGACCCTTTTTCATTATACTTTTTCTCAGCCATGGACTTCCCTTCAGATTTAAGCCTAAATCAAAATTAAGATGTCTTTGTCAGACTGAGCTCAATTAAAAAGAAAAAAAGGGGGGGTTGTCTTTATATGATGGTTGTTAAGTTTGAAGAGGAAGAGCATTGTTAGAAATGTGTTGCTAGCATTTTCTTATTATAGTGAATCCCTGCTTTAAAAAAAAAAAAAAAAAAGTGTTTTTTTTTAAGGAAATATGTTTAGATGCTTGCATTGCATTCACACAGAACGTGTTAGCTTCATGCTCTTGTCTGCTACAGCTTCCCAACTCCTTCAAGGCTATTTCTTAAGCAGGCAATATGTTTGCCTTACCCTGAGGTTTCAGATTGAGGTAACAACAGCAAGTGAGCAGCAGCAAACTGCTGACAAGAGATACATGATAGAATAAGTGTTCGTTGCCTTTCTGTCCAGTCAGTTCTCCCTATTTGAGGAGAAGGCTGTAAAGCCTGATGTCCTGTCTGCACACAATATACTGCACTGCAGGGAAAGCCAGTCAGTGTGGTGTCAGTCACTACTTCATTTATTTATTCTCTTAGATGCTGAACTGTCACAGCCTGTTGTCTGTCAAACAGCTCTGTTTTCAGTCTTGTCTTAAAAATTCCTCACCTAAACCTGATTAGCGCAAGCTCTAAGCATATACTTTACGGAGCAGCACCTATGACAGTTCCTACAATAATCAGTGAACAGAGATTCTTCCCCTAGCAACCATACATCAGTGATGCTTTCCTTTCTGATCTTCTGTAGTTGTCAGCTGAAATGGTATCAACTCTTCAAGCCATAAACACATCACATTCTTTTACCAAACAATATTGCCCTCAGAATTAAGACCTTAATATTTTTGTATGTAATGTTGTCCCATATGGGAAGTCATTCATGTGTATCATGTCTAATACCATTGTATCAGAGGAATAAATTGTAGAAATGCAGTTAATCATTAAACACTTAATTTGGCTTTGTTTTGTATACCTATAACATCTATTTATCAGTATTGTCAAATTTTTACTTTGCCATTGCAAATGCTTTTTGCTATTTGCTTGCTGTATTTTTAAAATTTAATCATTTATTAGAAACTCGAAAGATCTACAGGGGTGATAGATAAAGTGTGAAAAATGCCTAAAATCAGATCCAATTTTATTTCATTGTATGCAATTTATTGCGGTAATTGTTAGCTGACATTCTCATAGCTCACTGTACTCTGCCTATAATCTAATCTATCCTGAAGAGGCAGGCAGCAGTGTATGAAGTGATTATAAGGATCTTCAAGTGTCTTCAAGGATTTTCTGTGCTTGAAATGCAAAAGCATTTTGATCTGTTGTTGATAGAATGAGCACAATAAATCCCATCGTTAGGATTCCTAGAATAAAGAATTTATACACACCTATTAGTAAGGAACAATCTGGAGGGCAAAGAACATGATAGAAATTAATCACAACTGAATTCAGAAATAATCCTACCGATTTTGACTGTGTTGCCTGGCATCACAGCAGCTGTGAATTTCAACGCCTTACTGCAAGCCACATGTGGTTAGCTCTCCCTTTCTGCCTAGAGAACATAGATTTTTCTGGTTATGATGTTTTGCTCCTACCAATGCAATGAAGCGTGTTGTGCTATTCTTTATTTTTTACTATTTGATAAAAATACGTTGCACTGGCAGCCATGTGCAGTTATAACGGCACCGTTTTTTGAACTGAAACACATTCTTAGTGGCTATCTCTTGAAGGTCACTGCCTGCATGTTACGGCACTATTTTATTTTTCAAAAGACCCTGGACTGGAAGTGTGCACGCCGAGTTTTGCGTTTTCAAATGTTTGAGTTATTAAAAAGCAGTAAGGGATTATATAGCTAATGCCAGCTCACTCCTACGGCAGCTGGCTTGCACATTAGTCAGAGATCTTCCTTTTCTACTCTAATTGTCTGAAAAGTGTGCAGCCCCTGGGGTTGCAGAATAGCTTCCGACTGTGAGTGTGGGGAGCTGCTACCTACTCTAGGGATTTTACTGGTTTGTTTTTTATTAAACTGGTGCCACTCTAAACTAAGCCTGGCCACTGCACTTGTCCAGTTGCTTTCCCATCCTGTTGGCAGACCCTGCTCTTGTTGTTTTGCCTGACATCAGCCCGTCTGGCTGCCCTAATATAATCCGTTCACTCAGCTAATTCCCACGTTGTTTATTATGGACTCTGTCCAACACCCGCTGAAGGCAACACAACCTTCAGCTGCTTTGGCAGCTGTTGGACCAGGCCTATAAAACAGGGACGTTTTTGCTATTTTCAGGGTATTAAGAGTTTGGATTACTTAAAAACTGTACAGTGTGTTTTGATCAGGATAAAAGGAGGAAAGGCAATAGAAAAAACTACCTTTGAGGTGGCACCTTCCGCTCTCCAAGCATTTTGAAGACACTTCGGAGGAAAAGACATTGTTTGGATCAAGGTAGTCACCCAGGCTCCTGAAATGGTCAGGAAGTGGAAAGGCTCCCGTTGAGCAGGACTTTTAACTCCTCTTTATGAACAGGGGAGTCTGTTCTCCATCAGCTGTGTAGGCAACAAGTTTAGACTAGATATCTAGTTACTGGACAGCCATATGTGGATCATGTGAAGACACAGATAGAGCTAGGATGGATCCCATTGTTTTATCCTTGAGAAGTAAAGCTTTCCGGTCATTCTGGTCCAAGAACACAGGTGATTAAGGAGTCAGTCCTCTAGCTACCTTGAGGAGTTCAAATTCACCTTGGGGAGAAGGGGAGCTTCTCATCACAGTAAACAATTAGCATCAATCCCGGGGAGCCTCAATTTCTTCTTTCCGGTGCCTAATAGAAGAGACAGTAGATTAGCTTCAAATGGTGCTACATATCTCACTATCTGCTTCTGTGTAATAATACTGTATTGAAAATATTACCTTGATCTAGAAAGAACATTTTATGAATGCTCATTAGCCACTCCATCCATCTCTGTGGTCCAGAGACTCCAGTCTGACAACAGGGTGAAAGTCATATGTAAATTATTTTGCAATTCTACTTAAATTATCCATACATCAGGTTTTAGTTGTGACTGTCATTCGTATGACAAATTCTCAGGCGGGTTTCTGTCGGTAGAGAAGGAGCTTCCCACAATACAAATATAATGCTAAACTTCCAGTAAAACTGATGATGTTGCCTTTTGGATCCGACGCACGCAGGCTCCAAAATTTAAAAGCTAAAGGGCATCAGTCATTAGTAAATCTGCTACACAATGTGATATGTATCAACTTGCCTTAAATAACATATAATTAAGGTGATTTAACAGAAGCTGTATCCAATAATATTTCTTAATGGTTAATTTAAGGGAAATGAATTTCCAATTTGGTTGTCTGGGTACTTTTTTTTTTTCTCCTCCTCTTTTTTTTAAAGATTTTTTTTCAAAGAGCTGTGACCACCCACATTACTATTACTTAGTAATAGAGTCAATTTCTGGCTACAAGGAGAATTAAAAAACACAATAATAGTTTGGGGTGGAGGAATCCACCATTGATAAAATCTTTTCAGATTTTGTCTGCATTTGGAACTAAAATGGGAATTGGTCCATGCCAAAGAAGAGAGGCAACTTCTGGGTTGCTCTGTTTGATTCTGGTTTTTGAGGTCCTGGTTTCAGTGTACACTGCAGATGCACCTTGATCCTATTTTGGAGCAAGACCAAGTGAACACAGCCTTTTGTAGCAACCTGGTTTATGCCAGAGATACAAAAAAATGTATCATCTGTCTCATTCAGGTCAGTTCCTTGAGACAGCTGGGTAACTGGGATGGAGGGTGTGTTGCAACACACAGCTACTGGTCACCTACACCTTGCAACAGCCATTGCTTACCTTGTGATTTCAAAGCAAAGTAGGATGACAATAAGTTCAACGTAACTGCAGTTCTCCAGACTGTTGAAAAGACAATGTAATCAACATGTGGATTAGGTTTGTTAATTTTTTCAGAGTATACTTGTAGTAGTGGAAACTGCCCAAAGTTTCAGTTGATTCCCAAAAGTGAACTATCATCAGAAAACTCAGAATCCAACATACTGTTCTTCTACTGCCTCCAAGCTAATAGTTATTAATAATTAGTAATTAATAATAATAATAATTCATATGTGTTTGCTTTTCCTCTGCAGGTAATATTTTGACACCAAAATGGGAAAGCAAAACAGCAAACTACGCCCTGAAGTCATGCAAGATTTGCTAGAAAGTACAGACTTTACAGAACATGAGATCCAGGAGTGGTACAAAGGCTTCTTGAGAGACTGTCCAAGTGGACACTTATCTATGGAGGAGTTTAAAAAAATATATGGGAACTTTTTCCCTTATGGGGACGCTTCTAAGTTTGCGGAACATGTATTCCGCACTTTTGACGCCAATGGAGATGGAACAATAGATTTCAGAGAATTCATCATAGCCTTGAGCGTAACGTCAAGAGGTAAACTGGAACAAAAGCTGAAGTGGGCATTCAGTATGTACGACCTCGACGGGAACGGCTACATCAGTAAGTCAGAGATGCTGGAAATCGTGCAGGTATGTGCTGCTCAGAGGCACCCCCTGGCCTCCCTTCTTCCAAGCAAAGTATGAAGCAATGTAGCAATGAGACACTGAATGAAAAGCTCTGGCAGCATTTGGGGGATTATGGTCTTGGTTCCCTGTATAACGGCCTGAATATAAAATGTTACTTCATTTGGCAAAGATCATGTTACAATTCCAACTGCAGCAGTTAATGTCCATTGCAAGTTTTTCCTGAACAACACGCTGTGAGGGAAATTCTCCCTTGGGAGTTCTGCTGGGCTGGAGCACAGCAACTTACCTGCTGATAAATGTGATTCTGTCCTCTGGGAAACCACTGTCAATTAATTGCGATTAATTTCAGTTGAACCAAGTAGTATCTTAGATCAATCAGGTAGTGTACTATTAAGGAGGGCAGGCTCCCTCCACAATAAGAAAAAAATATTTGAAATCATTCTGTTATGAGGAACCAGCTCACATATTTTAAAAGGTGTCTGTCTGCCTAGTTCCAGTGAGGTCTGCATACTTAATAACATGCTAGCTGTCTTCATATTAAGTTGCCAGTATAGATAAACCTTATCTGGGTAGATGACGATTCCATACACAGCCTCTTTGAATGCTTTTTCTTGTGGTGTTAGTTGGAGACCCACCTCACTTTGGCTTCCTCTAACATGTTTTTACCCTTGAGGCACATCACTCTACTAGAATCTTTAAAACATTTTTGATATGGTAGTATATTTACACAGCTTGAATCTGTGTAGTGCAGTGCTGTTTAAAAAAAAACTCAAACCAAAACAAAAAACTGTTATCAAGATCTTTTCTTTCCCTGGAAATTTTGAAGTGTTAACTCTGTACTGTTTTATTCAGACTTATATTTGTGCTGGAAATCAAGGGAAAGGAATGCACACAAATTGCAGTCTGTAATGGCAAACCATGTGTACAGAGTCAGCCTAACGTATGATGCCCTTGTCTTCCTACCAGGGCTCTGTCTCATGTTCTCCAGACAGTAGCTAACATGAGCACTTGCACTGCTTCAGCAAGACCAGATACAAAGCTCAGCTGCAAATGTAGGGGGTTTGTGCCGTCTTTCACTTATTCTGAGTTCCTGTGTGTGAGTTAAAGAGCAGGACTGTTCAGAGGCAGAGACCTCCCTGTCTCTGTGCCATGACAAACCCCATGGAATATTTGCATTAGAAGATACTCTGTTCCTTACAAATCTTCCTCTCCCCTGGGCAAGGTAAACAGGCTATCAATTATTGTTTTCCTAGCCATATTTCTCCTCATGAGAAAACAAAGAGAATCCCAAAAGAACTGACAAAGTACAAAGCAAACACAAGGAACCAAACCTGAGTGAGTGCCTGCTCCTCAGGAGGAGGAGATGCCCCAGGACCACGGGACCCCTTGCTGCTGTTGAGTAGCCTGGGAAGGCGTCAGTGCTGAATGGCAGCACAAACGCCCTAGACCAGAAGATTTACAGTCATGGAGAACAATGCCACAAATGTGTTCATGTCAAATTTAATTAAAGCATCAGTGGCTGAATTCTCTGTAGCAAGCCAAGCGAGGACCAGCAAAACCAGCAGCTTTTTTCAGTTACCACCGGTCCGATCACCAGCATGATTAGAGGCTGAAATGCTCTGCCCCCTCTTCACAGTTGTGCTGGTACCAAATCGTAGCACTGTTCTTTACAACTGTGATGCTATCGTCAAATGAAACTGCAGCTTAGGGATCAGTGTAGGGAGACGTTTTGTGAATTTGTATACCCAACCCAGAGCAACACTGACTGTGTACAGCCCTCAGCCTGACACTCCAGCCCTCCCACTGCACTTCTTGGGAGGTTTGAATCTCTCCTCCTTTCGGATCTCACCTGAAACTCAACTGACCAATGCCTAGGTTTTTTTACCCTCTCCACACATTTTGAGGGACTACACAAAAATCAATTATGGAAGCAAACAGCCTAATAAGCCTGAGCAACAGCCATTTCTGCACCATGAACCATCAATTGTTTTACAGTCAGGAAAGCTCTTTCTGTGATGGAGCTTCCCATGAAGCAATGTGCTTGTAGATCTCAGCCTGCTCTCTTATTCCAGATGTTTATGGTCATAGTGATCTTCCTGTATTGCACTCGTCACCCATAGCCCCTCCCGGTGGAAGAGGATTTGTTGCACAGTCTCTGGAAGCATGTTCAGCTGCTATGTGAGAAACTGAAGTAGATGCGCACATTTCTTGCTTTATTGAGGGGTTCCTTTGATGTAGAGTGATTAGACTTACAAAAACCCAGCTAACAACTATCACTTTCATTTATGAAATATTATTTTTTAATATGAAAAAACAGGATTCTGTATCAAATGTCTTCCTGGGGGCACTCAGCCATCGCAATCTTTCTGATAGTGAAAAACAGAACTCTGTTCTATCTCTGATATATGTCTCAGAGGAACATATTACATGTCCCTTAGCTAGCATACATTTGCATATTGGTACAAGAGGATTTATTATGTTTTTGTTGTTTTTTTTGCATGAGACAATATATCAAAATGAATGCTAAAAGAAGTACCATCAATTTAAAAGTCTTAGTTTCACAGAAAAATACCGCCCCTATTACTGTGGGGTTACTATATCTTAAATAACGTAGGGACAAGGCATGCTTTTTTTTTCTTTTGAAAGTCCTCTCTTCATAGTGATTTTCACTGTTATGCTGATGCTGATGTGTACTTGCATTTCCTTTCTCATGCTCTGGCCAAATCTAACACCTCTGCAGGCAATGCAGACATTGCACTCTTGCTCAGCACTGCAAGAAGGTGCTTGTGGTAACAGCAGCAGCACTGGAAAAAGCAGAGCTACTGGTTAAGATGGCTCATGTCCCACAGGAGCCCTTGCCTTGCCATCTGCGAAGAAGGTGAACATGAATGGTCCATAATAACTTTCTGAAACCCATTGTCTCTCCAAAGCGATGGGCTAGAGGGCAAAGCATCTGTGGTCCTTTAAGCTCCGTTTGCCATAGTGCTGTTAACCATGTACGCATAGCCTGTCACAGACTCATCACGCCTGCCCATGAGCTTCCCCTAGACAAGACTCCAAAAAGCCCTTCTTCGAGACGTACTTGAGCCATCCACATGGAGCTGGCTGCACAGTTTGGAGGATCACATAACTTGAAGGACTTCAGCAGTGGGCTGACAATTGCAGAGCCTAATGATAGAAGGTCCACAGGATACTGCTAGACTACCAGGCGTAGCACATCTGCAGAGTACTGTGGGAAGATGCTTCATAGCCTGCCCTCTTGACAGTCCTCACAGCAAATCCTCTCAGTTTCTCCTGCTCTAGAAATGCTTTTCATGTCTCCCATATGTTTACCTATAATCTAAATAGACCAGTCCACTCAAAAATAGCTGCAAACCAGCTAGAAGATTTGTCTTTGTTCCCCTTGCTGAAATGGGACATATTTGGAAGAGTCTCTTAAAATAAGAGTTCAGATAAGAGCTTGAAACCTTGTTCTCAGGGAACATTTTTTCACTGTATGGAGTCATAAGACATGTTAAGAATACTGAGCGGAGAGATGAGCATAACACTTTCAGTTTAATACAAACAGAGCGCACATGTTTCATTTGCTGGGATAGCTTATTTGTAAGTCAGGAAGAAATAGAAACTGGTATGGGAAGAAGCAGAAGCTGATATGGTTCTCAGTAAAGACAATGTCAAAAATCCCCATGAGACTGAGAGGAAAGCAGTTTTTCAGGGCAATTATTCACTTCATGAGACTCTTAGCTGTCAAAATTTATTTCAACGGAGTAAAAAGGATTGACTGATAATTTGTGCTGTCATTGCTGCCATCACCATAAAGAGCTCTTTGATGTTTTGCCAAGCATGGCAGGAAAATGTAGCCCCCACCAAGGTTTCTGGCCTAAGTGACACAGTGGCAGCCAGTGACTGGGAGAAAAACTTGTGTGAATGAGCAGAGGGCTGAGATTTGCCCTAAATCACCCACCACCACTGATCCACATGCAGGTGGAAAATCAAAGGGAAGAGCTCAGCAGGGAACCAGCCAGCTCAGCTGAAGCTGGAGCCTGTGCTCCATCCAGTGATGAACAAAGGGCTCTGGAAGCACAGCTTCTTGGTGGCATTCAGAGGTGCCAGGGAGCTGTAAGGAGCCCTCCTGATGGAGTGCACCTGATAAAGCTGCCCTGACTCAGGTGTCTGCTCACAGATAACCACCTCCAAACCTTCTACTGAATGCCACCAGTGGCATTCAGCCCAAGTGCTAGGAGGCCAAGGAGTCGTACTCCACATGGAGTGGAGCCCTTGCAGTCTTTCGGTCCCAGGTTGCAGCCCAGGGTTAGCACAGCCCAGCTCCATGTAATTATCCTTTTCAAAGCTTGCTCTTTCAAGCACTCAATAAAGAGCTCTGTGTAGCTGCATTGAATTAATATGGGGCAAGTTTCAAGATTCTTAATCAGCTTTAGCTGGCTTTTACTTTGGGAAAAGTTCCCACTGAACTTCTGAGTAAGGACATAAGAATTTGTCCAGAGTAACCATTTTCAGCATGAAAGGAACGCTTACTATGTTATTCCCATCTGGCTTTCCTAGAATATCTCATCTGTTATTCCCTTCACACGCCTCTGTGAAAAGGACCCTGTAGGATGAAGTCATCCTGAAGTGCTTTTTTTTTTGTCCTAAAAATCTGCATATTCTTACTATGGTTACTTTGATCAGGGTAAACATGCCTGCACTCCCGGTCCAGAGCATTCCTCCCACACTTTCAATACAGATTCTCTGCTTTGCCATCCTCTCACCCAGAGTGAGGGAATGACCCCTCCACCTCTCTTCCTACCCCAGACAAAAGCCAGACAGCTTAAGATGCTTAAACATTAGCAGATTTATAAGCCTCATCTCTGCTCTGACCCCTACAAGCCTTGCATGCCTATGAGGATGAAGAAGGGGTAAATTCTTACTGTCCACCCTACCCTTTTTTTTTTCTTCCCTTATTGCCTCCTTCCTCCAGCTCCCTCATCCCTATGTTCATATGGCTGCATGTTTATCCTTTCTTCTGTTCTCCTGGTTATCAGATGGTCACAGTTGTGTGGACAGCATCCCTGCCTGTATGTAGGCTCTGCCCAATACTCTGGCACTCTAATTCTCATAGGAGCCTTTGGGCACTCCCCCGCACAAATCATGATGATGAGGATGACTATTGGCCACCAATTTTCCATTCATCCAGCAGCTGTTCATGCTGAAATGTTTTCCTCTGTTCCCCTGTTCAGGCCCATAGCCAGTGTTACAGACTCACCGGAGGGCAGACCAGGAAATCCACAGTCACGGTGTTGATGACATAACTGAGGGAGCAGATGTTTGATTGCATTGAGCATGAAGTGATGAATAATTAATTAAACAGCCAACTGCCTTTCTCAGGGTGTAGCTCTTCAAATTATTTAAAGGCCAGAAGATGTGAAAGGTGAGCTGCTGGCAGAGGAGAAGCTGATCAAGATGTCCAAGGAAGCAGTTGCTCCCTAGTCTGAGTGTAAAAGGTCTGTGCTGCTTAGCAGCATCCTTCAGCTAGTGAATCTGTGCTGTTACATTCCTGGAGCTGGCCCTTGGGAACCCTCAGCCAGATGATGGGAGCGTGCAAGCCAGAGTGCCTTCATGTATGGGAAAGGTGGGGAGGGGAGATCCAGTGAGCAGTACTGAGCTTGCACCAAGGACCCCCCCCTTCCCAGAGCAAGAGGAAGTGAAGAACAAATAGCTAAAGCAATCACGTCTGCACTGTTATCAACTGACCACTGCAGACACTGTGTTTTGGGGGAAACAAGAATTTGAACCTGTGGAAGAAAGCGATCCACATCTACACCCCAGGGCTGGAGGGCACAGTGACTGCCCAGTGCAGCGCCCATCACCCAGAAGTCAAAGAGCTGCCACAGGAGGCAGAAGGAGCTGGTCAGACCAGGGCAGTGCTGCTTTGAGCTGGGATATGCTGCCTCTCTAAATGGCCGGGAGGATCCCCCAAGGCTACCACCACCCTGCAGATGTCTGGCTGCTGCTGTTCTCCCAGCTGTGTATCACCATAAAGTTATCTAACACAAACCCCACTTGTTGCTGGTACTGCATGCTCACATTTGCTGGCACCATTTGGATAAGCAGTTCAGAGACAATTACTCATTCTTGTTTTAAAATTAACGTTACCTCTGTTTTAGGGGTGGCTAGCACCATAAGTGAGTAATGGATTTGTCTATGGAAAGACTAGCTATGGGTAGCACCAGTTCTGTGTGGGACCAAAACATCTGCTCTCTGTGAAACAAATTGTGAATGAGGTTTTAAGCAACGTACGCACACCAGCCCCAAGGAAAAGGCCACCTCCTTGCTGCTCAAGTCTTCTTTATCTGTGAGACATGGCAAATGGAGGGAGTGAGTCACCGCTCTCCCTGCAGGCAGGATGCTGACCAATGTGGGAGAGAAAGGACATGGGGGCTGCAGCAAAGGCAGGATGAGGAGTCGGGGTGGTGAGGATGGAGCCAGGGTGGCCAAAGCATGGAGACACACTGCAGCACAGGACAAGACCTCTGTGGTCTTAGCATTCCCCCAAGCACTGGAAACTGCGAGTGCCTAACATGCTGTACAAGTGATAAATTAATCCAAAGACTGTTTTAATAAGGAAAAATGTAACCTTGGTCCAAACCCAAACTTGATCCAAACTGAAGAGAGTAGATGCATGTACTGGTGACACCCGACTCCCTTCGGCATCCAGAGAGCAGGTCCCCCCCAGTGTATTTTCTGCCTGTTTCAGTCACCAGGACATAATCATAGCCCTGCATTAAGATAATGTGTTTCTTACCAGCTCTTTGCTCCTGTCATATCACACAGGCAATCTATAAGATGGTTTCTTCTGTAATGAAGATGCCAGAAGATGAGTCAACACCAGAGAAGAGGACAGAGAAGATCTTCCGCCAGATGGACACCAACCGTGATGGTAGGCCCCCTCCAGATGCCGGGGTGGCCTCCTCTGCCCCCATGCTGGCTGGCTGGGGTGTCCTGCCCACACGGGGTGACCCCTCAAACCTATGACTCCTCCTTTGACTGCCCAGGCAAGGCCACCACCATCCACAGCCAGTGGGGTGCAGGCAGGCAGGGCTTTGCCTTGTAGGGTTGCTTTCCCAGGGGTGTTCCTTGGGCACCCCCAGCTTCCTTCCACTGTACTTGTCCAGAGGCTTGGCAGGTGTGCTGTGACCCACCATGTGCACTAAGCAAACATGTTTCTTTTCTAGGAAAGCTTTCTCTGGAAGAGTTCATCCGAGGCGCCAAGAGTGATCCATCCATAGTCCGTCTCCTGCAGTGTGATCCCAGCAGTGCCGGGCAGTTCTGAACCTGTTCTTTGGATGAATTATGTATCTGCTTTTTTTTTTTTTCCTTGCCAAACAACATTCATGGTAGTGTTGCCTCTGTATGGCCAATTATGCCTTCATTTGTGGCATCTTATAGCTTCTTTTGTTGTGGATTAATTATAAGAATGCTGAATTGCTCTTAACAATTTGTCCAGAGCACGAACAGTACTGTTTTAAACAGATATTGTGGTGTTATCATTGTTTTAAAGATTTCATTTTGGTTTTTTGTTTTAACATGTCTGTTTTGGAAAGTACACGTTGAAAAGGAGAAAACCAACAACAGAACCCTTGGCAGCAAGACACACTGACAGATTTTAGATTGCTGCTTTAGTAGTTAGGTATTCACGTGCAGGACCTGAAAGTGTAGTAGAGATTGAACCAAAGGGGTTGTGATGGGTGCAGTAGGATTCACCTGGAACCTCCTCTCCTGTCCAGGAGGCACCAGTTAAGATCAAAGACAGGTTCAGGAACAAGCACAAAAGTGCAAAACATGTGCAGGGTATATCATCTGCACCCCTGCTCCTATGCCTCGTTGTTTAAATGCTGTGAACATTTTCCAGGTTGTGAAGGAGAAGGGAAAAAACAAAGGTCGATATTTTTTGCTAGGTTTACAGTGTTTGATTTCACATGGCTTTATCTGAAAATTCAGCAATTTGCAATCCTGATCCCCAAATCCACAACTTACAATACCTCTTGCCATTTGGGATCAGCAAAGGCAGACACAGATACAGAAAACTGGGTCTTGACAATGAATTTAAGGGAGATACATATTGAATGTGAAATTTTCAGGTTAGTAATAAAACAGTGTCTACTAAGGAGAGTGGACATTCATGTGAGGAACTCACAGACTCCTGCAAGCAGCTCCAGCTGAGGCACATCTGCTGTTCTGAATGCTCTTGCATAGTATGAAGTTTTGGAGGTGTTTTTGTCTCTCTCCACGTAGCTAACAGATTTTATGGGCCTGCTCTTAGGGGAAGGTTGTCATCAAAACTTGTTTTAAACAAAAAATTGTAGCATTTATATTTCATTTATTTTAGTAAAGTTCAAAAAATCTGTACTGAAACAAGGAAATGGTACGCTTTATGGTATATTTATATATATAAAAATTAAAAAAAAAAAAAGATCAGCTCTTGAGAGAAATGTTGAATGTTTATCTTTTCACCTAGATGCAGGAGTTCTGAAATTTGCTGCTGCAAAACTTTATCCTTTGGTCAAAGTTGCTGTATGCAAAGCTAGTACACATACATGGGATTTCTTAGGGACTTCACAAGTGCTGCTGCAACAGAAAAGCTTTCACGACAGGAGGCATTATGCTGACTAAATTGGCATTAATCTGTCATTAGCTAAAGTCTGCTCTGTGATCCTGTTGGAGAGGTACCCATGTAGGCAGTGCACAGCATTGGGAATTCATGAGCTCATTAGAGTAACCTTTGTCTAACAGGCAAGGTTGGCATTTTGTCAAGTGACCTTGTAGATGCTAATCCCTAGTAGCCTTAATTTAAAATAAACTAAGTAAAATAAATCTGCTTTACAGATGACGATTAGCTAAGTACTAATTAGAAGTCATGAATAAGTAGCCGGGTATGAATAATTTTTTGTTGAACACTAGCTAGCATGTACAATAACTGAAAGAAAAAAATCCCAGATCAATTTTTCCATACCGTTTGCTTTGCCAGGTGTGAAGTGCAGAGCATATTAAATTAAAATAAAAATAAATTGAAAATAACATTGCTAATCAGTTGTAGTAAAATGATGATGGGCTAATTACACTCAATAAATGTCTTCAGGCACACACCTTTGTCTCAAATGATCATAGGAATCCAGTTCATGATAAATTCCCATTATAGTAATGAAAATAGTGAACAGAGATTTATGTGGGAAAATGAGAAAGCAAAAGAGGCCCAACCACAGATGCAAACACATTTCAATACTAGTGCTTTTAGCTGTTATAAGCATCACTGGCAAATTTTGCTCCAATTATTCTGGTTAATGGAAATGTTCCCTATGTCTTTCTCCCTAATCTTCATTAGACATCCTGTGCACAAATCTAACAATTCAAAGGAGAGCCTGTGTCTACCTTCTTCAAGGTAATTTTCTGGTTTACCTGGAGAGGTTCTGGCCCTCTCTCCTGTACCCATCACCCCATATATATTGAAAGCCATGTTCCCACTTGAGTGCTTTTAGAGTTGTTTTTCAGCAGGACAAGCCTGGCCAGACTGCTGGGGATTGCTGCAGGAAGGTCAGTGGACACGCACTGATCCACATCCCCTCTGTCAGATGGGAATGACCAGTCCCCCTGTCCCAGTCGTTCTTGGGGTGCTCCATCACCACCAGTGCTGAGTGCAGGACTAGGTGACGCTAGAGGAACCCTGATGAACTTGTGACCTCCCTACTGAGTGCAAGAACCCAGACCCAAAGTAACCCAGACCTACAGAAGCTGGCATTTACTGAAGGTCAACTTGGATACCTTCTACACTTCCATCTTCCTTTTGGTGTTGTGAAAGCACCTGCATGTGACTGAAATTTTTAAAAAGTTGTCTATTATTTAAGCAACTGCATTCCATCTCCTTTTAGTTTTATACGATATTTCTGGCCCAGAACCTAATCTCTCTGTTTTGACTCAGTAGTTGTGGGGCTTTGGGGCCAGGCTCGGTTCACATGTTAATAGTGTACAACACGTGTCTGAAAACACAACCTGCAATATGACCACAGGCCAGCAGAGATGTAATTCTTCCCACAGTTCACAAAATCTAGGAGAATAAGAATTAGCCTACAGCTGCAGAAGACGTAGCTGAGATAAGATTTTGTATAAACATTTACAGAGTGAACTAAGGTTATTCTTTTACCTGACTACCACTGATGATTAATATTGTTTTAAATTATTAACTATCCCTTTCTTCCTCTGTCTCTGCACATACTTCAGAAGTGATCCATAGCTGGAGTTGTGATAGGAGCATCTGCAGACCTCAGATCAGCAGGACAGCAGTGGTGTGCTGTGCCTCAGATTGGAATTTTGTGCTTTGCTGGCATTTGCATTTGCAAACATAACTGCCTTCATAAACTTCCTGAAAACAAAATGACCTATCCTGTATAAAATAGCACAGCAGGTCAGACACTTGAAAGCGATCAATCAGCAATATTTCCATACCAGCGGGATGGCAGACAGCACATAACTATTTCACATCACCTCTCAATTTTGTAATGCATTCTCCAATATTAGTTGCATGCGAAAGGGGTAACTTTCACTCAGTGTGTTGTCCAAATGAATTAATGAGTACATCTCACATGCAGACTGAATCCATGGAAAATGCCAGTACCATTTATACAGCATTCCCAGTCAGCTTGCCAAACTCTGGGCCAGAAGACCTGAAGTGAGGACTATTGGGTTGTGCGATCTGTGGCAGCCTGTCTGTTTTAGGGTGCTTTGGGAAAAGAAAAGGGAATGCAATCCTTGTAAAACCAGCATGCATGTCTTTTTGTGAGCACTAATGGTTTGAGAGGGACTGAAGAAAGATCTATGTTTCAACATTATTTGAAGCCCTGTGAGTTCACAGCAGTGGATGTTCCTGAGGTACACAGAGCTGTTCTGTTCTTGCTATTCTTAGGAGCTTGTGGGATTTTTATCTTACTGTCAAGACATTTTGTCCTTTGTTGTTCTTTGTTATAAAGGATGACCTCCACATTTTCTAGACACTGCTGCTTAAGACAATAAGCCAGAACTATGTAAGTTCTGTAGCTGGACAAGGTCTATGTGCAGAAGTATTGAACACCAGCACAAGAAGTGGTCACACATGACCAAATCCCCATGGTTTAATAACTGCCCCTGGGGACTGAGCCCCAGAACTTTTCTGCATGTGCTCTCTTCACTGATGGCAAGCATGCAATAATGTGGCTTAGCTGAATTTTCTTTCACTGCGGACCATGCTAAGTCTCATTACCTTGCATTTGCTGTGGGCTGAAAGCACACACATGGGCAGAAACCTCAGCTCAGCTGACTCATGGAAACTTGGTGAACTGTGGTAACTTGATGTTGAGCCCTAATCCGCAGACTAAGCTGAGATGAGAATATGGCCATGGTCATACGTCTCTCAGTACATGTGAACTGGGGAACACGGTGACAGCTGGCAGGTCCCTGGGGACACGTGGCAGTGGGGGGGGGGGGGGGGGGGGGGAATCTCCTGCCTCAGAATGAACATCCTGAGCTCAGCTGTCTCCCTTCTTTTAAAACTCTCTCTTTTTTTTTTTTAGCAACACTGGTGAAGAAGCAACATGATAGCAATATAGCACGGTCAGGATAAAGGAGGCATCCTTCAAAGAATTTTCTTTTGAAGCCTAGCATACAAGCACCAAGTGAAACAAGCAGAAGGGAGGGCTGGACATGACCTCCTGAACACCCACTACGCCAGCACCTCCTTTTGTCTTTCTCATGGTGCTCCCTCGGTTCCCTGGCAAGGCGGTCCTTGGGCTCAGGAGTTAGGTGTCAGGTAACTGGTGCAAGAAGAATATTTCACCTGCCCTTTGCACAAGCATTTGGCTGCATTCTTTGCTCTGTGTCTTACTGGATGGGATCTCATGTAGGAGTCTTAAAGTGGGGGAAGTTGGTTTCCTTGGTATCGCAGGCAGAACGTGTGCTTAGAAATGCAGAGAAACTTGGCAAGCGTCAGCAGCTGAGCAACAGTCAGAGCTGCATGTGGAGTTTTCCACTGACTGCGCAGTAGGCAGATAAGATACAAAGCAATGATATGTCAGACTCGTGGTGTGATGTGCTTTGAGATAGAGCTAGACCAGAAATGGCACCTTCTAGCTGAGCAGCTCTGTCTGCTGCATATTCAGTCAGAGGCACTGAAAAAATACACTTTTAAGTACCTTCAGCATGAACATGCAGTTGCATGAGTGGAACAACTCTGCTCCTTCTCACATACAAGCAACAGAGCTATTTGCAGTGCCCCAGTTACAAGTTGAACAAACAACTCCTGGGAGGAGTATAAGGCATTTCCTAACTGTAACAAGGCAAAACGCCTGCAGGAGCTTTCTTCCTAGTCCAGGTATACAAGAAGGGAAAGCTCCTTTTGTCTCTTAAAGCCCGGGTGCCATTTTTCAGGTTGGTGAAGGTTAGAACAGCTGTGTTTTAAGCACGTGAGGGAAAAAGCAGCAGAGTCTGTAAATTGGCATGGAAGGCAGTGACACTAGAAATTGGGTCCACTGTTGAGGAGCTGCAGAAGCCATTAGGTGCCTCTGGCATTCAGAGCAGTTGAATGCAAAGTCAATCTCCTTGTCCCTTGCAGAAACCGTCACTGGCTGCCATGGGTGTCTCAGCAGCACCCCTTATTCCAGCCTGGCTTTTGCTGTTGTTGCTTCCAAATCATCCATACTAAGTTGTGTCAGGGGTGGGGATTTTCACAGGATAAGATATAGAGCTTTTCAGATATGCTCTCCATATCTTAACAAATAACAGCTGGAAAGGCCAGATGTGAGGGGCTTATTGCAGTGTAGATATTTGGTTTCCTTATTGCTCCCACAGGTCATAAATGTTATTTTAATATGTATAGTTGGGGTTAAGCTGTCACATGTAAAATGCTGACTAATGCACAATAAACAAGGCAAAAAAGAGCTTGGGTTATAGTGAACAACGTGAAAAGACTAGAGAAAAAACTGTAAGAGACATCACTGCCTTTAGATCAGGGTCTGAATTCACAGGGTGAAACCCCCTTGGCAATAGTCAGCACAGAATAGCTCCTCTAACCTCCCAGGCTGCTTAGTCCTCACTGTGTGCTGAGGCTGGGGACTCTGGGTCCTGCCACAGAGACGGTCATCTGAGCTTCTTCAGCCTGCTGAGTGCTTCCCCGATCTCGAAGTACATGACGGCCACCCTCTCCATAGCGTTCACTTACTGTGCAGCTGAGACATGTCTTAGATCTTCCCTTCTTGCCCTGACCTTATACCAAAGATGTTCTCACCTTCCCAGGGCAGGCGCTCAGGATGTCTGGCTCTCCAAAGTTTTGCACCCACCTCCCAGTTGCCATCCCTAGCCTCTGTGTGAGTAACAAACACCAGCCCTTGACATCTGGAGAAGCCAGGCTTGATGGACTTAGATGGAACAGCTTCTGATCTGGTTCCCAGACTTTGGCCCTACTGTGTGTACCCTGCCAACCACACTCTTTATTTCCTATTATTAAGTAATGACAGTATTAAACATTTCAAGAACACACTGAACCTCTGGAACAATGCGGTTTTCATTATCCTGTATGTGTTTGTTGATGCACTGCAGACTGAACCTGACTGGCGTTTGCTCTCTGCCCCCGTAGTTTATTCCCCAGACAGCTCATTTCTTCCAGGCAGGAGCAGCATCTTCCTATGTGTCACCATTCAGCGTGTAGTGCCCTGATGCTGCCTGGAGCACCCTGATGCTATGAACCGAGTGATAATTTTGGTGTAATAATGCCAGGCAGAAACTCTTTCTGCCACCTGTCAAAAACACGTGTCGAGGGTGTGACCTCTGGTTTTCTCCTCCCTGGGGACAAGGGTTTCAGTGGTACTCAGGGTTGGCCTCATGTTCCCCCACTGAAGAGGATGATGGTGATTAGTAAACCCACCTGAGAAAATCCTCTTAAATTCTAAGCTTCATTTGTGCTGCTAATTGGCTGTTTTAAGAGGGAAGATTAATAGGACCTATGCAGTTGTTTAGGAGAGAACTCGTAGTTCTTTGCCACCAACACCTTTTTTATTTCCTGTCATTGGCTTATTCCCATTTCCAGGGCAATCAAATAGTTTTTATTAGTAGCTGTAAGAAAAAGGAAAAACAAAACCAGAGTTTCAATCTGATAGGGATCTAAGGAAGCTTACTAAAGACATTGTTCTCCATGTTAGTCATATGAATGCTCTACAAGATCATGTTTCTTTGGTATTTTGTATTTAATTTCCTTATTCATGTTTTAGTTGTGTTTGTGATTTATTTATTTATTTTTAGATCCTCTTAGATTCATCCCTGCTGGTCATTTAGTTCATATGTTAGCAAAATTCCCAATGATCCCAGGAGCAGAGCTGCCTGAGCAAATACCAGCAAGGTGGCTTCACTGTGCCTAGTAAAAATGAAGTGCTTAATTACATTAGGGATTATTTTTGTCTGCACATTTGTCACAAGGAGACAGATTGAGCTGCATTTCAATATGTTTATCTCTTCCACTTGCTCACTTTGATTCCGTCCAAGCAGTCTTGTAGTTAATATTTGAATATTCAGTTCTATTTCTCTCTTGAATGCAAGGTGACCAATATTGGCATCCTCTGACTGAAGTACTTGATACTTTTTGATTATTATATATTGCTGAATAAATTATATAATGGATGCAAAAGTAAATAGTGATACATTTGTTTGTATAAATTTGGGCAGATATTTTTTAATGCTGTAGAGACTGATAAATTGAGATAAACCATAGCCAAAAGCTGAATGGATCCAAGTGTCCAGTTCCTGTTTAAGTCCATGACCATCCCACAGCGAGAGCTTTCTCATCTCTGTTCTCTCAGGCTATTTCTACATTGCAGCGTAGAGATACCAAATCTAAATAAGCTACCATGGGTAGATTAACTGCAGCAGCATGGAGTTCAGCATATCCTGTGTCTCGGCAAAATTAGATACCTCTCTAGATGAATGGTTTGTAAGCAAACCTACATATCCTAAAGAAGACTTTTACAACTCAGAAGAGGGACAACTATGATTTAAGTGGTCTGCATATTTTTGTTATGCTGTCTAGAATTGCTAGTGTCCTGCGTGTAGTTGCCTATAGCTATTGTGATGTGTTAAATTTCCCCCCCTCCCCGGTTCTGTTGTAAGCTCATTTGGTGATATTCAGAGTCTCCAGCCAGTTCTCATGAGGCAAAGGCCATGGAAAAGACATCTAGAGGTGAGCTGCCTCCAGAAAGACTGAGGGCAGCTCTCAGGATTTGGAGCTGTGCTGTTGCGTGCTTTGGGAGCATGTACCTGTAGAGCAACATGTAAAACCTACCTGGTAAAATGGAAGTAGATGATCAGGCCATCAGAGCAGACAGAGATTTTGGCGGAGGATTGTGTATGTGTTTTGTACCCCCAGCACGCACACTGTTCCCCCTGCTATTAATTTCTAGTTAGGACCTTTCTTGGATTCTTAGTGTCAGAGTAAAATTTTCTTTTGCTGATAAAGTATTTGTATTATGCAATGTACTCAGAAAAAAAAAGATTATCTATGACTGTCCTCTCCTCTCAAGAAGCTGTTCTCTTCTGTACATACGATATGCGGAATGTATGGGTCTTACCAGTGTTGGTTTGCATTTTTAAGACTGTACTAATTAATGTGTGATACTATTGTGTTTTTGTAGTGGCATCTTTGATGTAAGATGTAAAACTATTTAAAGTGATTTTTTTTTTTTTGTTATCGTTTGGCTTTTAGAGATAGCACCAAGGACTGCATGTTCACTAGAATCAGCCTTTTTCAAGGGTCGTCATAGCTGCACACAGCACGGTGTTTCACCTGGAGCATAGTACCTGCGTTCTCGTTTTAATAGGGGTCAGTTTTGAGTGGAAACTAATTCTTCCTGAAAAGTCTAGTTTTCTGTATTACCCTCTCTCAGACTCAAGCTTCCTCCTCCTGCACTGTGTGCCAGCCCCTGCCCCAGAAGGTGAACTTGAGGAGGGTCCCCTAACCCAGGGCACCCCGCTGGCCCCAGTGTCCAGCTTTCCTTAGGACTGCTGGCTAACCGGGACAAAACAGATGGGTTCACATTGTAAGACCATTTCTGCAAGTGGCTTGGAAATTAACTAAAATTTTGAGGAATTAAGCAATTAAGGGAAAAGAAAGAGCCTGAGTGGCATGTTTGGGGTCAGAATCTTATCGAGGTGCTTAATATAGTGAAAACTTGGGGTCAGTCCCTAAAAGACAGGACTAGATCTACATTTCTTGTCGGATTTGGAGAGGGAAGAGGGGCTCAGATCCAGCCTTTCAGGCAAGGCTGATTTACTCAGAGGATTGAGTCTGAGAGAGATGCTTCTCCTGATCATGTCCTGGGCCAAAAGACAAGACATGCTGCAGCTTAGGAGTTTTTATTCTTTGAGTTTTTTTCTTTTTAACGGAGAAAGCAGTTCAAACTGCACCTGGCAAAATGACTGACTTCAAAAGCATGTTTTTCCTTGTTATATAGACACTCACAAAACAGCATTGTGTGGTTAAAAAGGCGCGTTTGTGATAGTTTCTTTTTCAGTGCCAAAATATATAAGCAGTATTGTTTGAAGGGAAATAAGAGTTTTTTTACTGTATTGTTATTACTGTTGAACAAATATTGTTTTTAAATGTTAGATTTTGAAGACTTTTGTATTGTAAACTGTTTTGTGACATGGTGCTTTTTCATACTGGAATTACTGATTGCACCTAAATATGAATTATTTTGTTTTCTTATATAAATATGTTACCTTGAACAATCTTGATGAAAACCCATGTATGGTGGATACCAATGGTTCAAATTCTCCTACTGAAGTCCCCTAAATGTTCTTTCCTACTAATAAACATTCTGCTGCAGCTAGCTGTGATGTGCTATGCGCTGTTACTCCCTTCACACTGAAGCCTTAAGACCTCATCTAGCCCCATGATCTGGTGAGCAAACCTTGGAGAAGCCTTTGACTGCAGCTCTCACAGCCCCTGGCCCACTCACCGCTGTGGGCAATGGGGCAGCAGCCAGGCAAGCCACTCTGGAGGACTTAGTGAGGGCTTAAGCCCTGCATGGGGGCTGTGCTGGCACGTTGCAGCTGGCTGGGCTCTCCGCTGCCAGTACATTTTTTCCTCCAGCAGCTAAAGCTGGCGGCCAAGCAAAGGGCAAGATAATGCAGAGTGGTTTATAAAAGCAAAGGAAGGACAGACAGCACAAGGCTGAGAGCCCTAGTCCTCTGGAACTGGAAAGGCCATCTTAGCTGGCTGATGGGAGTTTTCTCTGCCATAGATAAATCCCTCTCCAGGTTTAGGGCATTTTTTAATCTCTGAATGACTGGCACACCATCGGGGGGCAGGATGCGAGGAGGGACCATGGGTAGGTAGGGTGGTAGCTGTGGTTAGTTGCTCTGAGACCTGGTTCATGGGGTGGCAGCAGAGCCCATCACAGCAGGGGCTCCTGCCAGCCTCAGCCAGGCTCTGGAGGGGGCTGGCTCACACTCCTGTGGATGCTTATTAAGCTCCTCAAACTTCTACCTAGGTTAAATTTTGAGCTGGGATTAGCACCAGGGTGCCAAAAGTAGTTTAAATCCTGCTGGAAAGTAACAGAAACCAGTGCCTAGTTCTCTTGAGATTAAAAAAAATCCCATCTTATTTGTGGAACTGCACATTAATATGGGCTTGAAACAGGCTGTAGCATGACTGGAGCATCAGTTACATCATCCAGGTACCCTGTGTGCTCAGTGCACCTGCAAAACGGCTTTATTACATGAGCTTCCATTCTGCCAGACTCCCTGGGATGTATGTTCTCCTCATTCTCCCATTAGAGCCATAACGCAGTTTAGCAGTAGGGTGTAGAAAAGGCAAGGGTGTAAGGAGGTGTTTATTTACATAGCGATATTAAAATTCTCCACTTAACACTTTTGCTGGCCTGTGCATTTCCCTGTGCAAATCCCAAGGCTTCTGTCCCAGGACAGGGATGTGCACAGGCTCCCAGCACAGAGCCTGGCTTCAGGTGATGGCCACTACCAGGCACTTGAGCACATGTTGCACCCGAGCAGCCTGGGACTGTCCCTCCCACTGCTTCAGGGAGGAGGGGACCCAAGACCCTGCATCTTATCAGCTTGTGACCCCTGGATCTGGCCCCATCTGAGAAAGAGCACTCTCTGGAGTCAGTCACTGTTTTCAGCAGCATGAATCAAGCCAAGAGCTTGGGAAAGTGCTGAAAAACACAGCTTTGCTGCCCCTTTGAGTCCCGTAAAGATTCAGTCAAGAGCTAGAGGAGGGGTGTTTTGCCCCCCTCTCCTAGTTTTTCTTAAAGACCTTCTGAGTCACCTTGCTAAACCCTCACTCAGCCATGTTAGAAATGGCCTGGCCTTGGAGCATGCTGTGCATGCAGCGGTTCCCATCAGCCAACATGCTTCTCCTTGCTCCTCCACAGCCTTGCAGACGCAGCACGTCCAACCACTCAGCTGTTAAAGCATTTGCTTTCTAAGAGCCACGTAGTAATATTACTTCCTATAAAACACGATTAAACATCTATCACAGGCAGACCCCAGGAAACATGATTATTTTAAAGGGCCTCATGAGAGCTGGTCCTGACTCACCTCACACTGTTCATCCAGACAGTATCCCTGGGGCCTGGCAAAGCCCCCAAGAAACTCCCCAAAACCTGCTGGATTGAGGATCCACAGTGTCAGGGGCAGCACCTTGGACTGCGAGCTCATCCATGGAGGTTACCAATACCAGCAAACTGCAGTCAGTCCCACAGCTGACATCATATATACATGGCATTATATACATAGGACTTTTGGTTTCTGTTGTAGCTCAAGTGCCGACTGCAGAAGGGCTGGTGAGGGAACACAGGCTGCACTGGAGACCGTGTCAGGGCAAAGAGCATGTGGTTGGAAGGAAACAGGTCTCTCTGGTTTCTGGAGCATCTGGGAAGAACTCTTCTGTTCTTTGTTCGTCAGTCATACTCACCAAGCGGCGGAGCGCTTAGTGCCTAGCTTTCCTGCTGACAAATACTTTTGAAAATTATTAGAAAATGCCCAGCACACAATGAAAGCCTTCTTTTAAAAACCCTAGTGGCTGTGAAAAGGCTCTTAGAGCTGGACACAACTGGATGAGTTGTGTTCGGATGGAGAAGTGATGGAGGAAGCTGGATTCTTGGAGCTAACACTGCTGGCCAAGACATTTCAGGTAAATTAACTTCTTTCCTCGTTACCCAGGTGTGGTCTCTGCCTGACAGAGGAGAGGAGATCTCAGGGGCTGACTTCCACAGCAGTTGGTCCCACTCAGGACTTGCCCTCAGTGGGAGCACTGAACTTCACCTCCACAGCAAGACAGGGCTGCCATGCCACTGATGGGGCAGCCTCCCTTTGCCAAGGCAAATGCTTTCCCAAGCAATTTCCCACTTGGACATTCTCATCTCCTGGATTCTTGTTTGAAAAGACAAAGTCAGCTGGTGGAAAATAAAATGGTTGATGAAAATGTTTTACTGCAAGATGCATGGTCAGGTATGCTTCAGTGCTTTGGGCACACAGGGCTCAGCAGGAGCAGATGCCAGGTGCCCTAGACTCCAAATATGTTAGTGCCAGCACTTCCAGCCAGGTTCCCGGGACATTCTGACATGTCACAGAATCACAGAATGGTTGATGTTGTAAGGGACCTCTGGAGGTCACTGGTCCAACCCCCTGGATCAAGCAGGGCCACCTAGAACCACTTGTCCAGGGCCATGCCCAAACAGCTTTTAAATATCTCCAAGGATGGAGACTCCATAACCTCTTTGGGCAACCTGTGCCAGTGCTTGGTCACCCTCACAGTAAAAAAGTGATGTTCAGAGGGAACCTCCTGTGCTTCAGTCTGTGCCTGTTGCCTCTGGGCCTGTCTCTGGGCACCACTGAAAAGAGCCTGGCTTTGTACTCCTTGCACCCTCCCTTCAGGTATTTGTACACACTGATAATATGTCTCCAGAGCCTTCTCTTCCAAGCTGAACAGTCCCAGCTCTCAGCCTGTCCTTGCTGGAGAGGTGTTCCCGTCCCTTCATTAGGTTAGTGGCCCTTTGTTGGATTCTCCAGGATGTCCATGCCTCTCCTATACTGTTGAGCCCAGAGCTGGACACACAACTCCAGGTGTGGCCTCACCAGCACTGAATAAAGATCACCTCCCTTGGCTTGCTAGCAATGCTTTGTCTAATGCAGCCCTGGATACCATCAGCCTTCTTTGCTGCAAGTGCACATTGGTTCAACCTGGTGTCCACTGGGACCCCTGGGTCCTTTTCTGCAGAGCTGCTTTGCAGCTGGGCAGCCCCCAGCATGTACTGGTGACGGGGTTGTTCTTCCCCAGATAGAGGAGTTTGCACTTCTCGTTGAACTTCACAAGGTTCCTGTAGGCCCATTTCTTCAGCCTGTCAAGGTTCCTCTTGATGGCAGCACAACCCTCTGCTGGTGGGAGCCACCATACCCAGTCATCAACAAACTTGCTGAGGGTACACACTACCTCATCATCCAGATCATTAATGAAGATATTGAACAGGACTGGACCTGGTACTGACCCCTGGGATACACCACTAGTCACTGGCCTCCAACTAGACTTTGTGCCACTGATCACCACCCTCTGGGCACAGCCATTCAGCAGTTTTCAATCCACTGTCTGCTCATCCAGCCCATACACCAACAGCTTCTCTGTGAGGGTCTTATGGGAGACAGTGTCAAAGAGCTTACTGAAGTCTGGGTAGACAATAACCACTGTTCCCCTCACCATCTACCAGACCAGGCACTGAACCAATGTTTTGGTGATTATTTTTTTCAGTCTATGTTCTTGTTTTCTCAACAGAATGAATTTGTATTTCTTTTTGAAAAGTTTTCTGCACTCAGAAATAGGAACTCAGTCCCAATATGTACTAATACACACCACAGCAACAGAAATATCTCATACATAGGAATATTTATTTTTTTCCTTCTTAAAAATGTACAAAAAATAAAATAACTGTATTTACAGTTTATCAAACCCCTCTCCCAGTTGCAACACTATTAAGTTACATGAACTATTTTCTTAATATAAAAGCACGCTATTTATACATAAAGTTTCCTTGTTTGCCAGAAAGAGGGCTTGTCACAAACTTTGGCACAAACATTCTTGTTTGTATCTTGTCTCAATTCATAGGAAATGGAAGAGCATACAAACATTTCATAAGCTTTACATTTTAAAAGTCATAAGATACTCCTTTCCAGTTCCACATCAATCAATATACAGCAACTCTGACAGCTGGGAAGTTTAGTTTTTACTAATTATTTGAATTAATTTACAAGATTTAAACAATCCGTAGACCGAAGGAGGAAAATATATGACAGACACTTGATCTCTGAATTCCATTAAGCAAAAACTTCATGAGAGAGAACACACAGGAAAAAAAAAAATTCTTTGTAGTTTACATTTAGTAGTAAAAATCCCCCAAAATGTCTTGACGGGGATGTCACTGAAAGCTTCACTGCAAGGAAGCACTTTATTTTGGGGATATCAGCACCTGATTGTGTAGAAAGAAACTAAAATCTGAGATTTGAGGATTTCATAATAAAAGATCAAATGGACGGACATAGTCCCAAATCTGTAGTGGGAACTAAAATTAGAACTTAGAAGACTATTCTCCTTTTGCACGTCTATCAGTCTTTCAAAACAGAACATCTACAGACACTGTGCTGCCCTAATTCTTCATAGGGAAAATTAGTTGAACAGCAAGCCACCCTTCAGGCTGCACTAGTTAAGATTCAAGAGGAAAGGACATGAGAGTTTTGTTTCTTTAAATAAACAACTACAACAGTGTCACAAAGAAAGAAAAGAAGGCAAGTCAGATATTTCTGTCTCCTGCTGAACAGT